CACCGGTTCAAATCCGTCCTGTGAGGGGTTGACTTTCATTTCATGGCAGACCCATGGAATGAAACTTGACCCTCCCTCTCTAGTTAGAATATGTAAAGTTAATTTTTTATCCTCTATCGCAGTTTTATTATCACTGGTGATTTTAATTAAGAGGGATTGTGTGGAGTAGCTGGGACGTTTCTGCCAATGTGTTGGTAACTTTTCCTCCGTCTCGGAATAGAATTTCTCATATTTTTTATTTTCCTTTGTCTATTAAATTTTTTCTAACATAAGTAGTGGTCCAGGTGTCTAAACAAATGATATCCATAGGCCAGAGGTCCGAAGAATAGGGCAGAGTTTCATATCCAAGCTCCAACAGTTTTTTGATGTCACACGTGAGACATGTGGCCAGGTGTTGATATGCAACAAAATGGGCCCCTTCCGATTGACCCAAGATTGCTTCATTATTGCCAATTTCTGATGCATTGTATTAATTTGGTTACAATACGATTCAGCATTGATAGTTTCTCGTATTCAGGATTTAAGTAGCTGTAGTGTATCAAACCAAATGAAGCCCACAAAACAGTAACCATCACCTTTTTTTCATGAGTAGGTGCCTTTGGAAAATACCTGCTGCTTCTCCTTTGTCGGGCCTCTGTCCAGAACGTCTACTATTTAGGCAACATTCCAAATTTAATTAAAGTAAAGGAAAATAACTCTAATGAGTTCAACATAGGCAGCATTCAACTTATTTTGGCAGTAGACTGTATTTTTATTCATAAGTGGTAGGTTATATGAATTTTGTAAAATAAACTCACCCTTTTATGCTGGCATAGGCATCTTACTTAACTGAGAGGGCCCTCCAGTCTGCTCTAGTTGTTGCCTCTGGGAATCTCTACTCACCACAACGCGACAATCAGGTATAATAGCTTTCACACAAAACATCTACTGTTATCGTAAAGTATCTACTTTTCATCAAAAATAACAATTATGGAAAGAAAAGAGTCATTTTCGTTTTGGCAAAGAAGTGTAGCAAAAACTTCATAATGCTGTTTTTTTTTTTGCCGTTGTTCAATGTGTTCGGAACCCAACTTTCAAGCTTTTTTACCACCTTTCCAATTGATTTGATATGGTCATTGACGGTTGATTTGCTAAGGGTTAATTTCACTGCATGTTCTCAAAGAGTTGCTGTTTAGGGAACACATTAAACTTCATATTTAAATTTAATTTAAATTAAATCAAGTAAACACAAGACAGCTGTTATCTCGAGCATACTGCATATATACCTCAGTTGTTATTGTGTCGCCGCCATGACTGAAGCGTAGATGCTCACGTAACGTGGCAGATTAACGAGACTGGCCAGTTTGAATATTCGTAATTCCACTGCTTCGATGAATATGGAGTAAAAAGCTACATCGACCGGCAAGGGGCCAAGAAAGGAAGGGAGAGAAGATAAACAAGAAATCTAGCAAATACAAGAAAAGAGAAAATGCAAGTATCCCAACCCACCTATAATTAACCTCTGTATAAAATTAAATGTTATTGTATAAAATAAAGCAATCAATTTTACATATTCACTTCTTTAATCCATTAACTCCTCTAATTTTACAGTCCACAGCAATAAATTTTCACCAGCTCTTAAAGTGAAATTATTATGACAATATCCCTGACAGCCGTGGAAGGGATTGGCATAGTATATTAAACAGTTGCTCTGAGGTTTTCTTCCACCAAAGCCCACAGAACATCGTCATCAAGAGAGGAAGTCCTTCCACAACCTTCTTTGTCTTCAAGGCTGAAGTATCCCTCCCAAAATTTTTTTAATCACCGTTGAAAAGTGCACTCATTAATGCTGCTCTTGCTCCAGACTTGATTAATGTTTCTGGCTGTCTGTGCCCCATTCTGGCCGAGTTTATTCGTAAAACAGATTAAACAAAAATCACGTGTTAATATCTTAGTTAAGACTGAATTATTTTGAAGCAGTGAAATGCTATAGATGTAAACAAACATTATCGTTCGGAAGAGGATTAATAAGTGTTGACATTCATACAAACGTAAACAGTTTGTTATATAGAGGGGTATTTTAAAGAAAACTCAAAATCCTGCATTATTTTCCGGACAACCCAATAATATGATTATTTCAGTTATAAATATCATATATTTGTAAAGAAATCCCAGTACACAATTTTTTACAATTTAATCAATGGGCTATCAGCAAATCAGAACTTTAATTAAAAAATACAAACAGATTTTTCAATGTCTGGATTTGAGTATTTACCAGAATAATTTTTTTGACATTTAATTCATTTAATCATTTAATGTTGTTTGAATTTAGATATATTTTAATTCTTCTGTAAAATAATTTTGGTTTAATAAATAATTTTGTTACTTCAACCTTTAAAAAACAATTTACTATAGCTTCGTTTAAATTTTAAACTATTTTTCATTTAATTCTACCTGACTTTATGAATAAAAAAAGAAGTGAAATGTAGTGAAGTAATTGATACCAAACATTTTAGTATTATAATCTTTCTTCATGTATAAAAAAATTCTTAAACATAAATTTTCAAAACAGTGATAAAAATATCTAAAATTACCTGTAGCTAAAATCTCTCTCCAAACACCCCAATACAACCATATATTAATGAAAACAGCATACAATTCTCTACCAAATGCAAAAATAATATTAGTGGGCTTTTGAGTTTGAAGAGTTTTATTACACTTTAAGCACAATATAGTAAATTTTAATTTACCAGTTACAAATACAAGGGAAATTGCTTAAAACTCTGATGGAAAATTGCTTAAAACTCTCTCCAAATATCCTGGTATAACCACATATCACTGAAAAGAGCATGGAATTTTCTATCAGATCATGAAATAATATTTGTGAAATTTTGAGTAATAAGATATTTATTATAATGTAAAACAAATAAGTTTTTGTGTGATGCAGAAATGGTGTTCTAATCGATATAGAAAAATATCTGTAAATAAAATCTCTCTCCGAATACCACAATACAACCATATATTAGTGAAAACAGAATGAAATTCTCAATATAATGAAAAAATAATATTATTGGGATTTTGAGTTTGAAGAGTTATATTGCACTTTAAACCTAATACATTAAAATTTAATTTATCAGTTATATATACAAGCAAAAATAGCTAATAATCTCTTTCCGAATACAACTATATATTGCTTGAAACAGCATGAAGTACTCTTCCAAATGATAAAATAATAACATTGGAGGAGGTCATTGAGTTTAATGTGATTTATTGTAATATAAATAAATAAAATAATATCTGTGCATTGCGGTGTCGGTATGGTCAACAAAATAATGTTTGTATTTTTATGTTTGTATCGTACAAAGCAGTTTATTAACTGTTTATCTTTACATCGAGATTCCCAGAGATTCCACCATACATCACATAACAGTTGTCAAAGTTGGGGAATATCAAGGAAGTAACCAGAAGCTTACAGCTTTCAAATGGAAATAGGTGACAGAGGTAATTTAGACATTTTGATGTGAAACAGGCATGGCGGGAAATATTGGATCCATGGTTTTTCCAGAAAATGATTTCATCAAAGATTATTTCAAGGTTTTTAATGGCAGGATAAAATTGATGGGATTATCATTTAAGGTACAGAGATGAAATATTAGGAACCGTTTTAAAGAGGTGATTAGAGCCTATTTCCATTGCCTTCATCTCTGTGCATTTAATTTTAACTTGTTAGCTTTCTGCCCAGACACAGATTCTAATTAAGTTTTTTTGAAGATTTTTTTTGGCAAGTAATAGATCAGAAAGCAGGAAGGATTGGTATATTTGGATATCATCTGCTTATATATCATTTTGGGATTGATGGATCAGGAGGAGAATGTCCTTAATATAAATAGCAAACAGAGTGGGGAGTAGAGAGGAACCCTGAGGAACACTACAGGAGAAAGGAAGTATCTTGGATGAAAATTGACTTGGGACTATTACAACTGGGACCGATCTGAAATGAAGGATTTGAAGCTAGGCAGGGTACTATTATCTAGAGGAAGATTTTGCATTTTGGTAAGGAGGATGTTGTTGACAAGTATGTCAAATGCTTTGAAAAAATCTAGAAGGATGAGGATAGTTTGTTTTTGGTGTTCAATAAAGTTTTGAATAATGATATAAATACATATGTGGTGCGACGTCCTGTTACTGAGACTGGACCTCCTCTTTAATTAATGATATACATTGGATATCATTGATTGAATAATATTCATTGTTTTCAAGTTTATTTATTATCAGCCATTTTACACCAATTTTCAAAATTTTGTCAACTTGATGACTACACATCTGATTACAACGTTTTGGCTCGTTGAGCCATTTTCAAGTCTAAAATACCAATCATGTACCTGTCCTTTTCAACTTATGCGAATTGCATGCGTCTACTCATATAAAAATTTTTTATTTTTGTCATGTCCACCTTATAATGTGTCACCGACATCTCATCAGTCTCATTTCTATTTTGTGACTGTCCACGAAATAGAAATGAGACTGATGAGATGTCGGTGACACATTATAAGGTGGACATGACAAAAATAAAAAATTTTTATATGAGTAGACGCATGCAATTCGCATAAGTTGAAAAGGACAGGTACATGATTGGTATTTTAGACTTGAAAATGGCTCAACGAGCCGAAACGTCGTAATCAGATGTGTAGTCATTAAGTTGACAAAATTTTGAAAATTGGTGTAAAATGGCTGATAATAAATAAACTTGAAAATAAATAGTATGCACCGAAGAAGAATTGGAGAAATGTTGTGAATATTCATTGTTATGTCATGATAAATGAAAAAAAAGAAAGGAAGAAAACCTGCACCACAATCCACAAAGGGTCTTGGGTTCAGTACTATGTTGGGAAGTACTGTTTCTTGGTCAACAGTTGTGCAGGAAGGTGATTCGACCATGATTACGCTCAAAATGATAAATTTCAATTGTATAAAAATATTTGAATGTCTATTTGTGATACTAATATAGTTTTTATTGACAGATTGATGTATTGGTCAGATTGGGGAACAGAACCTGCCATTATGCGTTCAGGAATGGATGGATCTAATATAATAAAATTTATAAAAGATGACATTCATTGGCCAAATGGTCTAGCCATCGACCATGGAACAAATTATTTATATTGGGTAGATGCTAAAGAAGCAAGAATTGAATGTGTAAAACTAGATGGAACCGACAGAAGAGTGAGTAAACCCTATTACTTAAAATATTTACTACATCTGACAGTATTTCGTTGTTCTCTTTGTCCTTATGGTAATGATAAGTTTGTTTTCACTTAATATATATAGTTTATTATACATTATCTTCTAAGCAATTAGAAAGTTTACACTAATACATTTACCTTATTTTTTATTTTTAGAAAGTACCATCCACTGCTGTAAAACATCCCTTTTCCATTGATATTTTTGAAGATAGAATCTACTGGAGTGACTGGGACAGTGACCAAATCGTATCCTGCAATAAATTTTCTGGCAAAGATTGCCATACAATAATAAAAGAAAGAGACCATAAGATTTATGGTATCCATGTCTACCATCCTAGCATGATAAAGGAAGTAAGAATATTTTTTAATACTCTAGTTACTTAAGTATTTCCTTAATCTTTTCTTCCCTTCAGTAATTTAATCCTATGGAAGGTAATTGTTATTCTTATTAAATATACAGTTAGTATGGTGTTACTTATACATTTTATCTCAATTATGACCACAGTATATTAATTGTTTAATATCCTTTAATTTCCTTTTCATACTCTAGCTTTAACATTTGGACTTAAGTTTTTTTTTTCCATTAACAAAACCACTATTGATTTAAAGTCTTATCCAGGCACTAGAGGATCCAGGTGGGGTACATGTGACTTCCCCTCCTGGTATATAAGAGGGACATATTTTTTCTTTTTCCAGTATGTCGAAGATAGGATAAGGACACACATTGATACAATTTTACTATAGTATTTATAATTCCTAGCTCTAATCTTAAAAAAACATTCTATCTGCCAGTAATTGTCTTCTAAACTTAAGTATGTTTCGCTAGCCTCGTTGTATAATACGTCTATCGGAGTAGAATTAAGAAGTCCTAAACATAATCTTCAACACCTATTGTGTATTGTATGCTACTTCTTTAAGGAACTATCATGTGCTTTGCCATATATAGTAGCTCCATAATCAAATATTGCCCCAATGGTATATCTATAAAATAATAGAGATATATTAGGATCTGGTCTCCAATTATTCTTAGAACAAATCAGTTTTATTGTTCCCATTAATTTTTCAGCTCTCTTTTGAATATCTGTCATGTGTTGGTTCCATAAAACATAGTTCTAGAAAACATAGTCCTAGAGGTCACAATGGGAATGAAATTCCTGCCTACTTGATCCCCAAGAGGAAATTTATGTTCTCTACTGAAGGGACATACTATACTACAGATTTATCGACTGAGATATTCATACCAGTATCAATCTGCCATCTTTTGAGCCCTTTCACTGCCTCTTCTCAACAACTTGAGGCAACAGTTAATGTTTTTATGTGTTACATTTAAGCAGGTGTCGTCAGTATATCTGTACTTGTCTGGGTATATAATTTCTTAAATCTGCTGAGATTATAGCAAACAGTAAACAGCTACTTATACATCCATGTGGTAGGCCAATCTGAGCATTTTTTGTAACAATTATACAATTTTTAAGTTTTAAAAATATTTTCCTATTACTGATTAAGTTAATTATAAAATTAATAATTTTACCCGGGACTTTAATATCTTCCATTTTTTATGATATTATGCATTGTAGGAATTGAATCGTATGCCTTCTCAATGTCCAAAAATAATCCAACTGTTTTCTTGCCTTCAGTAAATCCTATGTTTATGTCAGAGTGTAAGACAAATAAACTATCCATGCTCAACTTCCCTTTCCTAAAACCATATTATATTGAGAGTCAGGTAACTTATTGTGAGATTCCAAACACCATTCCAGTCTATATTTAATCATTCTTTCAAAAGTTTTAAGTAAGCCGGAACTTAATGAAGGAACTTAATGAAATAGGTCTAAAGAAAGAAAATTTTGGGTCCTTAACTGGTTTTAGAATAGGAATCACAATATTCCCTCCAAGACTCTGGTAATAAATTATTTTGCCATATGTTGTTGAGTATATTTAATAATATGGTTTTTAATTGTAACGGTAATTTATTTAACATTATAGAATGAATATTGTCTATACCCGGGGAGCTAATAGCATTACTTTTGTTTGAATGGATGAGTTCTGGTAAGATAAAATTCCTTGTTAATCGTTTATGATCTTCTTCGTTATTTTTATTATTATCATTTGTGTGTGTAATCTGTAGCACTACTAAAGGAGAGGCTAAGATGTCTAAAAATTCCTCGCATCAATCTTCAATAACGGGTTAAATTCTATTTAAGGTTTTTCGATTTTTCAAAATGGCTAATTTATTCCATATTTCTTTGATCAGGTTATTTTTAGTGACACTTTTGAATTCTGCATCTGACCTTTGATATTTCATTAGGTTATCGGTTGAAGGATTTTTTTTATGTTCTTTAAATGCCACTTTCTTACGATTAAGAAATTGTCCACATTCCCTATCCCACCAACTTCTGCTGTATTTTTTATTGAAAAATGTACTATGCGGGAATCGTACTTTCACTTTCATTATTAAGAAATTTAATAAAATCCTCATATTTAGGATTGCCTGGGAGTGACTTACTGTTTCCCTGGGCAATTCTTTCGAATTCAGACCAATTTACGGATTTAATTTGTCATTTTTTGGTAGTTTTATATTTATTTGGAGTTACATATTTTTTATACTGTATTTCTGTATTTGTGGGGAGATGATTAGAGTCTAAAGGATTATCATGAACTTTCCATAGAGACCTGTTGGCAATGTTAATTGAGCTTAATGTTATATCCAATGCAATATTTTATTTCTGTCAGATATTGTTTAGAAGGGTTGGAGAACTATCATTCATCTGTTCATAGTCTCTTTGAAGAATCTATACTATTCATAAAACTGGTCACAATAATAATTTGTATATTTCTCATTAGAAAGTGTTGTTCTTCCCCGTCAAATAAAAAATTTATCACTGGAAGAAACATTTATTTTTTATTTTAATGTAAGTTTGTTAAACTTATTAAAAGTTTATTAAAAATAAGATATAGTTTATATAACTGTGACACTTTTACCAAGGAAACATTGTATACTTATCAACGGAAAAAAAATTAGCGTAGTGACAAATCACTGTGATGTGTCGCAGTGATTTTCTGGGAACTGCCACTGTCGGAGCTGTGATGGAAAATCTCTATCACATCCCATCACTAGTACTTATTGCTGCGAGATGAGGGGACAGGCCTCTATACACCAGCTTCACTTCATACAACTGTACACAATAAATAACTGTACTCATATGTATGCTCCAGATGTTTAGCTCATGTATAGTCACAATTTTATTAAAAAATAACACTAATTTCCCAAGAAAAAGTGAATATATCTAAGAGACAAGGTAACGGTAGTATATTATAATCTAACGCATTCGAAAACTCCAAAAGCTTATTAAATGAGGAAGTTGTTCTAAAAGTGGGGTAAACACAGTACAGTTGAAGAGTGATCATAAATAATTTATTACTTTTTTTAAACAAAACTCAGCTGTGTTTTTTCTGCTTAATAGTCTTCTTTAAATAGTTTAACAATGACAAACTTTACTTCTGTTTAAAGCACATTTTGTCTAGTTATGGATGGAGCAATGTTTAATTACTTTAACAAATATTTTTTATGTTATCGCTTCCTGTTCTCCAAAAACAGTGACTCGCAAAAATAAACACAAATCTTAAATTTCCTACTTTTTTGCTGAAAATTGTGCAATTGTTTACATGAAATTTTTTGTAGATCTTGATGTCTACCAGGGGCGCCCAGAAGGGGGTTTCATGACGCAACTTGCGCCATGTAAATTTTTGAGGGGGGCATATTTTGTCAAGTTTTTGAATTTTTGAGGGGGTCAAATTTCGACAGGGTTATGAATTTTCGGATTAAGAGACAATTGGGAAACATAGAATGGACCACAGTATGTGTAATTGTATATGATCTACGATTTTTCTAATTCTAACTTCCAGCTAGTTAGCTTCCTCTGTTTTTAAGAAAAGGTAAGCAATAAAATATCTTGGAAGGAGGGGGGCAGGTAGGTTCTTGCACCATCGACCTTGGGGGGAATGGGCACCCCTGATGTTTACTATCATACATACATACATAGTTGGCGCAACAACCCGTTAACGGGTCTAGGCCTCCTCCAAAAGTCTCCGCCAGTTGGCTCTATCTGTTGCTGCAGCTCTCCAGTTCCTAACGCCGAGGAGATTGCGTGTGTCCGCTGTGACGGAGTCAGCCCACCTGACATTTGGCCTACCCACTCTTCGCTTCCCATGAAGCTCTTCAGCCAATTTCCTCTTAGGGATCTCGTCCTCCTTTATCCTTGCAACATGGCCCGCCCATCGAAGTCTCCCAATTTTGATCCACTTGATGATATCAGGATCTCTGTACAGTTTGAGAGTTCCTGATTCTTCCTCCTTATCCAGGTGTCTCCCTCTCGAACCGGGCCAAAAATTCTTCTCAATATCTTCCGTTCAAACACCAGAAGGAGGTTCTCACTGGCTCTAGTGAAGGCCCAGGTCTCTGACCCATACATAAGTACCGGACGAATCAGGGTCTTATATAGGCCGATCTTGGTCTTGTTGGAGAGGTGTCTGCTTTTGAAGTATTTTGCTAGCCCAAAATAGCTTCGATTGGCTGCGGCAGTTCTTCGGTTGATCTCCTGGGATATGTCATTTTGAGTGTTTATTTCTGAGCCCAGGTATACGAAACTTTGCACCCTCTCAAATCTATATGGTCCAACTTCGAAAAAACCTGTCCCTACCTCTGATGGTCCTATTCTCAAATACTTTGTCTTGGCTTCGTTGATGACCAAGCCAAGAATTTTGGTTTCTTGTTCGTTAGAGCCAAGAAGGCTTCTTTTAGGGCACGATCAGATCTGGCAGCTATGTCAATGTCATCTGCATACCCCAGTAACTGGATCGTATTGTTAAATAAGGTGGCCCGTGTTTGGATCCTTGATCTGCGTACTGCTCGCTCCACCACCAAATTAAAGAGAAGGCATGCAAGGGCATCTCCCTGTCTCACGCCGATGTTTGTGGCAATAGGTTCAGAGAGGTCAGATCCGATACGAACCATGCTGTTCGACCCCAACATGGTCACTCTCACCAGACGAATCAGCTTCCTGGGTATGCTCATTTCTTCTAGCGCCTGGTAGAGCTCAGGTCGGGTTACGCTATCGTACGCAGACTTGAAATCCAGAAAGAGGTGATGCGTAACCATCCTATATTCCTTGGCTTTTTCCAGAATCATTCTCAGATCTGGTCCGTGGTTGACCTATCCCTTCTGAATCCAGCCTGGTAGTTTCCTATCTCTCTTTCAGCATGGGGGGGGAGTCTATCGAAAAGGATGTTTGACATCACCTTGTAGGCACTCAAAAGGAGGACAATACCCCTGTAGTTGTCGCACTCCGTTT